TGAAAAGCTCTTTATTCCTAGCACTTCTCTTCGTACGAAGGGGAGGTATAGGCTGCTAGTTCTTGACGGACACGGAAGCCATTTGACCCCGAAATTCGATGAAATCTGCGAGCAAAATAAGATAATACCTATCTGTATGCCTCCGCACTCCTCTCATCTTTTACAACCTCTCGATATCGGCTGTTTTGCTGTGTTAAAACGATCATACGGTCGGCTGGTGGAGACAAAGATGAGACGACAAGTTAATTATATTGATAAACTTGATTTCCTCGAATTATACCCCCTTATACGGATTGAAGCTTTCAAATCGGAGACTATTAAGAATAGCTTCGGAGCAGCTGGTTTAGTCCCTTTTTCACCAGAGAGAGTGATCTCGAAGCTAAATATTCAGCTTCGAACCCCTACCCCCTCCCGAGTAGGGGTAGTGATTCAAGCCGAAATTTCACACCAAAAACACCCGCTACAGAGAAAGAACTACGTCGACAGGCTTCATCAATTAAAGCTTTACTTCGTACGAGGTCTCGAAGCCCGCCTAGCCCGTCAGATCGTGCATTAAACCAGCTTATAAAAGGCTTCCGTCTTACAATGCAAGGCGCTATCTTATTAGCGAAGGAAAACAAGGAATTACGCGCTGAAAACGAGAAGCAGAAGCAAAAACGGACTAGGTCCCGAAGGCATATTGCTTCTGAAGAGGGCCTTTCAATTGAAGAAGCTTCTGTTTTAATTTTGCAGCAACAGGAAGCAAGTGAAGCACCTCCCCCCGGCCCTGGCACCTCTGGAGAATCGGCTATTCAGCCACGTACGCGGCCCCCCCCCGGGGGTGTGGAATATGTAGACTGCCAGGGCATAGGAGAGAAACATGTCCAGATAGACCGATTAGTTAGTTGAGTTAATTTAATGGCGTTTGTGTTGAGATAAATGCCTTTAAAATTGATCGGGTGATTTGGGTGGACCACTCGGTGGTGTGGACCACTCGGTAGTGAAATACGTTATACATACGAAGTAGTAAATCTCGACATATCATCCGCTAGAGGTCGGCTATATCCTTATGGCCATACTATCTTAGTTATATAACAGTCATGGGGGCCTGGTACTCATACAGCTAGTTATTTTAACAGATCGTGGGTGTCATTATAGTGACGAACTTGATCTACGTAACTTGCAGGAGCTTGCCGTTGAGACCTTTCCACGGTATTTGATATACTACTCCGTACTTCCCCCCGAAATGACTTGGAAATTTCAGGGTGGCTTTTGATTCTACCTTATTTAATATGTACAATAGCAAGCCTCTGTAGGTATGGTATACGGATTAGGTACTCCGTAGTATAACCACACATCCATGGCCAAAACACGTGCTGCTCAGCTGGTGATTAAGTCCAGCTCGGTATGTACTTTTGTATTCGCATGTGCTAGTAGTGATACGCAGCTCTCACTCTCAGAAAGAAAAAAACCAACCAAATCCCTCCAGTGATAAGGGCTGGATATGATATTCACTACTAGTACAAGAAAAAAGTAAAAAAAAGAACATGAGGCTGACCCGATTTGAACGGATAACCTTGCGAACTGGAGTCGCACGCGCTACCGTTGCGCCACAGCCCCAAGTTGATGAAGTTTTATGCAGCTTTAGGCATCAGTAAGCTACGTATACTATGCCATGCATGGGTTAAATACCGAGGAGGCATAAAGTGGAGGTGACTAAGACCGGGTATTTATAGATTTCCACATCGAGTCCATTAAATATGAATTCAAGGGGGAATAATGACCTGGGAAAATGAAACAGTTAACATAATGAATCGTTATTATATAACATTAAGAATGTAACTGAAATTTCTTAAATTTCTCTAATTTCTCTAATTTCCTAATTTCCAAAGAATCGAGACCGTCGATTTCCAGGGGGCCCGGACTCCACTGCCACTTTTCCCTCCTTTTCTAATTATTCCTCCCTCTCTTTCTTTCAACTTTCAATATCCACTCTTTTTGTATCTTCTTTCCTTTTCCCCAGCCTGGTGCTGTTTTTGCCTCTCTGTAAGGGTTACTTCTTTCTTTAACCCAACCTCTTCACCCCCGATTGTCTCTGAACCCACTTCAGTCATTTAAGGTACTTTAAATCTACCTTGTAGGGTCTTTCCTTTATATCTGTCACGATTCATAATTCATACTCGCACATTTTATTCACTCACTGTCGCTCCACACTAACTAACCACAGTCGCTCCTTCCCGTCCGCCTCGTTCAGGACCCTCTCAGCCCTTATATACAAGCAAATCGCTCATCCACGTTCCCTCTTTCTCGACTATCTCATACTTCCCTTCTACACACGCCCAATTCAACCAATCCAACAAAATGGCCAAATTCCGGCCTAGCAACATCCTAGGCGATCCGTTCGCGCTCGCGACCGTCTCGATTTCCCTTGTTCGTTCGACCTCCCCCTACGCGACCCGATATTGACTAACATACGATTATAGCTGGCATGGCTCATTGCTTTCATCGCATCTATCATTGCCGATGTGCAAACCAAATATCCCAACTACTCATGGTGGGCCATCTCATACATGTTTTGTGTCATTGTAGGCCTGATCGCGACCTTTGGCACTGATACGGGCCACGTGTATGGCGTCGCGGTATGACGAATCTTCAATGCAGAACATTACCAGACTCTAATACTGACAATGTCTCCAGATCGTCGGTTACCTTGGTTGTGGTCTCGTCCTAACATCTACGAGCGCAAACAACCTGATCTACGAAGACCATGGCTCCATGCAAGCCGGAGGCGCAGGCTTCATCCTGCTTTCCATGATCATCATCATCTGGATCTTCTACTTCGGCTCCACACCCCAAGCCACCCACCGCGGCTTCATTGACTCCTTCGCCCTGAATAAGGAACAGCCCGCCGAGCCCTCCTACCGCGGCAGCCGTCCCATGTCCAGCGCATTCGGCGCTCGCCCAGACACCATGGCAACCGGCAACACCCCACAGATGTACACCTCCGCCCAACTAGGCGGTTTCGAGACCTCGTCCCCCGTCTCTGGATACCCCGGTGGCGCGCCCGGCGCCGAACGATCCTCTTCTGCGCCTCGCTTTGGCACCCCCAACCCCCCGACTCCGGGTAACGGCGACCAAGAAGTGGGCGAAGTGCCCCAGCCAACAGACTACCCCTACCGGGCCAAGGCGATCTACTCATATGATGCCAACCCGGAAGACGCCAATGAAATCAGCTTCGCCAAGCACGAGATCTTGGAAGTATCCGATGTGAGCGGCCGATGGTGGCAGGCTCGGAAGCAAAATGGAGATACTGGCATTGCGCCCTCGAACTATCTGATCCTCCTGTGATCTTTGGTCCGTATGCATGATGTCTGTTTGTTCTTTTTTTTGTCCGAGTTTCTTGCTATTTGTTCTGTCGCAATTGATACCCTTCGGATCCAACCTCGATGTGTGTGTATTTTTTTGGTTCCTCTAACGTGATGTCTTGATGGCCTCCTTGTGTTTTCTGCATGTCCTTTCTCTTCTTGGCACTTTTTTCTGTGATTTGGGGTTTTTTGTTTTTACTCTAGCGGGTGGTTTATCCCGGGTCTTTCCTTTATGCTTCATGGTTGAGGTGCTATTCTCCATTGTCATGTTGGAATCGTGTTTAGAATCAGGGTCAGTTGATCTTGATATAAAAAAAACTTTCTACATGGAAGAAAAATAAACATGTGAGATGCATCTATAAAGACATGTCTTGATTTTGAGTGCAGCTCTCTGAGTGTGTTCTACGTACGTATACGTCTACGTAATTTGTTACCCACAAGGAGGGGCGCACCTGGACCCCCGTGGGCCCTTTCAAGTTCTAGACCATCCCTTGTTTTTGATCTCATCTCATCTATCTTATGGATATCCAGGTACAATATAGGTAAATCATTAAGCGTTTATTCCCGAATATTTACGTTCAACTACAAGTCAAGAGATCCATGGTTCGGGTGCACGGGTATGCCAAATTGAAGCGGGTAGCCACGTGTGCGGATAACACAATAGAGACATAGGGTATTGTATCTTGATATTCACATACTTTCGGTCTATAGATACATATTTAAATTATTGCCCAACATAGTGTTATATTGTATCAATAACTTCCCTCTGCTCTGTACCCCCAGGGCTGCTCCACCCCAGATCCACCAAGCCCGTTGGTTGAGAATCAACCTGCTACGCTTGAGCCCAAACTCTGTATTTCTTACTCGACCTAAAGCGGGGGATTTAGAGATCTCGGAGATTTATATCTAGAAAACGAACCTATCTACTTAAAATAAGCATAAATATATCTGGAACCACAAGCCCTTTCTTCTTCTCCCTATTTCCAGATAGATTAAACGATCACGCTCACTCATTCCAGGCCCATAAAGTAGGCAATATGCTCTCTCTCCTCTGTAGTCTAATGCACTAGCCGTGAAGATCCATCGAATAGACCAGCCGAGTCCTGCGTCGAGCGTGAAGACTTCACCGCTGCGTTGGCGTTCACCCAAGCTTTCTCTTTACCCCTGTCGTTTTCTAGTCTGGTATTGGTTTACCCTGCATCGTACTTATCGACCTGCATTCTATATGTCCATTTCCACAAATAGCGAGGCATTCGGACTTAACTCCTAATCTCGATACACGTCTACATCGTCTTGCGTTTGTAAACGGGCTGTGACTGGCTCGGTCGGAGGATGGGTGCTCATGCACTACTATGTGCATACGAAGAGACTTGGATCCTTTCACCGATTCGCAATTACAACCCAAATCTCTGGTTCTGTTTCCGTTGTTTCGAGGGCTAGCTATTTGATTTGGGAGTTGGCTGTTTAGTATAAGTATTAGCCTACCTCGTCGAATCGAGTTGTCGAATCTGGTTGTTAGAGTGGATATTTATTTTATACTCAGGCTTTTTTCCCTTCACTTGGATATCTTGCGTGGGCACTTCTATGATATCGTTGTCTGAATTCGAATTCGCTGCCCTGCCACACCCATGGTAAACCTCGTTCTACTACACCAACATGTCCGAAGAAAATGTCACATTGACATCGAACGTCCTCGGCACTATCGGGACAGTTCTCTGGTGTATCCAGCTGATACCACAGATCTGGTATAACTGGCGGCGGAAAAACACAGATGGATTTCCCGCGGCGATGATGTTTCTGTGGGCGGGCTGTGAGTTCTCTCTGTTCCTTCATTTCATGGGGCTTGAGGCCCTTGAAGGTTATGTTTCGAGTCTCTTGATCTGTGGGAAATAGCATCCGAAAAAGGAAAGAGGAAGGAGGAAGGAGGAAGGAGGAAAAAGAAAAGAAAGTTTCAAATTAGAAATTGGCGTTGCTCACAATTGTAATGCATGCAGGCTCGGTTCCAATGGGCGCATATCTGATTCTGCAGGTGAGTTGAATTTCCCTAATGAGTGGACTTATTATCTACTAATTTCAATGTTTGCATCTGTATATCGCTGACCGCTATCTTCTTCTTGCTATAGCAAGTCAATATCCCGTTGCAGATCCAGCCTCAGATGTTTGGATTCTTTTCTCTTGTTTGTTGGGGGCAGATTCTTTATTATAACCAGTGAGTCGGGTTTCTTTTCCTTTCTGAGTGCGTGTGTAAATTTGTGGTATGCATTTCTGATTTCTGTTCTTCAATTTTAATAGTGACTATACCAAAACTAAGGCTATCCTAGTATCTATGGGCACGGTCGTTTTATTCGGGGGATTGGAAGTTCTTCTTATCTTGACATTGAGGGTATTATCCATTTTTCTTTTTACTATTTCGTGGAAAATAGAAAATCTAATCCAACTTGAATAGATACCATATAATAACGGTGTGAAATGGCCCGACATCGTAGTTGGGATTATCGCCGCCATTATCCTCAGTGCAGGACTCCTGCCGCCGTATTTTGAATTGTGGAAGCGAGATGGACGTGTGATTGGCTTCAGTTGGTTTTCTTATGACTTGCAGCGCTTGACGTATAACTGCTGACGTTAGTAGATTGGGTCTTCCTCTCCATCGATACGTTGGGCGGACTATTTTCTCTCTTTGCATTAGGTAGGAATTGCTCTACCTCCTGGCAATATCTATAACAAAACCGCTGATATATTTCTATTACAGCGGCACAAGGCTCATTTGACATACTTGGGGGGATTATGTATGTTTTGGTGATAGTTCTCGAGGGAGGGATATATATTAGCCATATTTCCTGGCGCATCCGCTATCGGAAGTTGCGCAAGGAAGCAAAAGATTCGGGTAAAAGCATTGAGGATTTGCTTCTACTGAGGAGGAATGATATACGAGAAACAGGTGATATTGAAAAGGGCATTATTCCTGGTGCTCCTGGGGATGTTGGGAGTTTAGGGCAAATTGAACACGCCAACGCCTGATATTGAACCGCGTGACTTAGTTGAGAAGTTTTAACATACTATGGCCTACGATATGTCTTCTAAATTTAAGGCAGGAACTGGGATGATATTGAAAATAAAACAAAAGAAAAATTACCTTTAATCATCAGATAAAACAGCATGACCACCACAATCCAAATATATCTATTTAATACACCAACCCTCTCTCTGTCCTATCCAAGGTATCATTCAGCACACAAATCCCCCCTTCTTAAACTCCCGAGTCTTCCTGCACAATATTCTTCGTCTTGACATAATGATCCCACGCAGCACAATTCTTCTTAAACGGAGTGTAATCCACAAGATCCCGAATCTCATCCTGCCGCTCAATGAACTGTAACGCCAGACCCTCGTCAACATGCCATCCAATATGACAGTGCATCAACCAAGCACCGGGGTTATTTGTCTGGAAAGCAATAAGCAGCCACCCATTCCCGGCCAGCACGGCCGTATCTCGGCGCGGGGGATTCTGCGTAATGATAGAACCATCCCATTGTGGCTTTCCTGGTCCAGGCTGTCCTTGCGCCAAGATAGAGAAGTCGTGACCGTGAAGGTGGATGGGATGAGTGACAGCGGTATTTTGGATGAAGAGATATACCCATTTGTCCTTGAAAGGCAACTCGATCACGCCGCTTGAATTTGAGAAGCCTATCTCATTGTGGTAGATTTGTATCAGGGTTGGGTTCTCCCAACTCACGTTCATCGAGGTGGAGTTGAACCGCCAGCGGAAGAAATTCTGTGCGTTCCTGACATTGCTGACTGTTAGGTTATTGCCCCAAACTGGTGAAATTGGTGGATCGACGTTTTTCGGGACGTGGGGAACTAGATTCGTCAAGAGTTCGTCTTCGCATACGTTTGTGAAGGGGAATGACTGCGTCTGCGGTTGTTTGGGGGTATTGCCGTAGTAGACGATGCCTCGGATGTTGCCAGTCATTTCGTTTTGCGAGCATCTATCGGCTGGTATAGCTCTCATCCAGAAGGATACGGCTACAGATTCCTGGTTGGCTGTGATAATAACATCATAGCGTTGACCTGGATATAGAGCATTAGTTGGATTTGTACGTCTGGAGTAATGGGGATGTGGCAAAGAAACGAACCCATTCCAAGGCTAATGACGTTCGTGACAAATGGCTTTATAGGAACGAGATCCATTGCAATCACGGTCATTGTGTGGTTGTCGATAGTGAACTTCCAGTGTGTGTCGATAGAAGGGTTCACCAGTCGTAACCGGTAGGATTTGCCTTGTTCCACTTTCATGTGGAAAGGAGAGCCGGTATTATTTGTACCGTTTCCATATATATTCCTACCATTGATGAGTCCATTCGACAACTTTTTGACAGGGCCGCGTAGTTGGACATCTTGGTGCAGTTGATCCACAGTCTCATGCGTCCAATCACTCAGGAACAACGCGCCCTTGTCCACATCATAATTTGCAGTTGCCGGTCCATTGATAATAATAGCCCCATATACACCTTCCCACGCTTGCAGACCAATATGAGAGTGATACCATGAGGATCCATACTGACCAGCTCGCCATTTATAGGTCATAGTCGAACCGGGGGCAATAGGACACTGGGTGAGCGAGGGAACGCCATCGTTTGGGTTTGTGTAGTTCTGACGAATACCATGCCAGTGAATACTTGAGCCGTTCATTGACTGGTGCAGATGGTTTGTGACGTGGACGACCACCCAGTCGCCCCAGTTTGCAACAAGAGGTGGGCCAGGCAAGGTGCCATTGATGGTCATGGCTAGACGTGGAGTCATGAATCCATCGGGAGAGAGCATGGCTTCTTTAACCTCAAACCAGTATTCGCGCGTAACACCGGTGTCCGGGACGACATTTTCGTAGTCTGTGTCGATGCTGTGATTGCACCAGACAGATCTGCCATTGGGGGTGTTTCCTGCACATGGAGTCCCGGTAGGTGTAGTCCCATAGATACTGCGAACTCGAGATCGTGTGACAATTGGTCGCAACGTTGTCGATGGGTTGTAGGAGTAATGGGTATAGGCAATGCCAGCACCAATTAAGTTGGCCAAGATGGTAATGGATGAGAATCTCATGACTCGATATCAGGCTCTCAAAAGAACACTGTTAATATCTGCTTTCTGTAAAGATATTTAGCACTTATTCCACCAAGTTGTGGAAGGGATTTATATACTCCTCTTATACGCCTCAAGCTGATATTTTACGAATGCCCCTTCTTACCCCAAGGCCGTCTAGCTCGTATATTGCCTCGTAACAAAAGTAGAAATAATAGCCTAAACGATGATACCTCAGCCACGAGGGGGCCAAGGCCCTCCAGCTCAGTTTCAGCATGGGGCAAGGCCTTATGTCTGTCCGAAATAAATTGTCCAAGGGGATATATCTCACTAATTCATACGTGAGTATGGAAGATGATGAATCTAGCCACGATGGAGTTAGACAAGGCCCACCAGCTCAGTTTCAGCATCAGATGAGGCTTTGTGTTTGTCCCAAATAGATCGTTTAAAATGGGGTATACTCTCAATGATTCATACAAGTATAACGAATAATTCCTTTCATTGACATATAGAGTCAAAGGATTTCCATAGTGTCTAGCCACATAATCTAAGCCTTTGTGTGCCGCCAGATCTGTAGGGCCACTTCCACGTGGGCCATGCATTATCGCGATTAGATCTTTTTTTTCTTCTTCAGATTCCCGACGCAGGGTTCCTAGTCTCGTGTATCTGATGGTCCACCCTAGATATGAAACGGTCCGGTCAAGTAACCTATGAGTTATTCGGGGCTTTGCCTTGTGGACATAACGTTCGTGTATCAGAGAAAAAGGGGGGCAAGGATGATGGCGAGCCAGTCTCGGGCATGGGTGTAAATGTGAGCTAATGTGTGAAACTGAATGGTGTGACCATGCGTGTCATCTGGGTAGTGCCTGTTCAGCTGGGTCAGCCTTAGAAGGAACTTTGTAATTAAGGAGTGTGGTGTCAGGATATATAGGCAACACAGGATGACAATGGCAGGGATACCTAAACTATCCAAGCCAAAAATTCTGTCATACTGTCTCCATATATGGCTCAGCTTACGAGGCCAGCTCTAAGTTCGTCCCACTGTGCTTTCAGAGAACATAGAGGGCAACCTTCCGGAGCGTAGATATATGGAAGACGATCTCAAAAGCACCTCAACGCAACTCTTTTGATATCAAACCAGAAGCTTCCTAGCATCAGCTTCAAAACATGACTTCGATTACCTTTGCTATGATCCTTGCAATATTTGCAATTGGCTCGGCGCATCCGATGGAGAAGCGACAGGCTGATGGTTCGTGGAGTTTATATGCATATGGCCACAACATTGACGGGCTGCCCATTTTCTATGCAGATGGTAAGCATCTCTCGCCCTTAAATGGATCACCATTAATTACATTTGCCCAGGCCAAGCTCAGATTGGTAATATGGCTCTGTCCAACGCAACCAACAAGTTCACGTTTTCTTGTAGGCCTTGAACTCCGAATCCTCAATGAGTGGTATCTGATTTGGCTACAGTGACCTTTGGTGACGACCCAAACACTTGGATTGCTCATTCCGATAACACGACCGCCCTAGCCAATGCTACCAATCTGCTGGGATTGAGCGATACTGGCTCAATGGCTTGTCCAGTAGTTTTTACCCCGAGCCAGGCAAGGAATGACACAACCATGCCAACACCACAAACCAACGTGTGGACTTTGTATGGAAAATACGTTGTATGTAGCCAGGACAGGGTCAACTTCTACGCCCAACCGACAGGACAAGATGGATGGTATATCTTGCTATGGAGTGCAACGACAGATGCAGCTCTTCAGAATATTCCGGTGACTCTAAGAACCATTGGCCCTGCCTCTGGCTAGGATCTGGTCTTGGGGTCAGGTAGGCCATTTTATGTGGCTATATGTGGATGTTATCTGGTTCAGTCAGATTGTCGACCATTATTAAGTATGAATTCGATCTTTATGTCTATGTCAATTGTCGCGTTCTGCAAATAACATTATATTCAAGCTTGGGACTCATATAGATTGTACTTTAGCTCTATATATATCCCTTTTCGCCTAACTGAAACGATTCTTAGCTTTCTAATAATAGATATATTTTGTATCTCATCTTATTAGGGCGCTCAGAGTCAGTGAGTAAATCTCAGTTAGACTGTGACATCGCCCGTCTATGGGCACTAGGAAGTGTCCACGGCCCGTGGGCCTTTTGAAATTTGACGCCCATCACCCACCATAATGCAAAATTAATGCAAAAATTACCTTAGAGATTTGTCAAAGGCATCTATTATACACTTACAGAGGAACAACGAAACGAAGAATGGTCTCAATAACGCCCACGTACAGCAATGGGGGAGGTAACATTGAAGAGTGCTCTGAAAAGAAGAGGGAGCATAGTCATATCTCGTAAAGGGGCATCAGACGTGAGATCAACTTATGAGAACCAAGCGCAAATCAGTATCAAAAGCAAATTAAAAGAAAATCCCAGGAAACTCGCAAAAAGCAGAAAGATCGTCTGGAAGATACAGAACCAGGGACGCAGAACAAAGACAGCTATATCCCCGGCATTGTTCGAGATTCCTCGAATTAGAGTAACAAGTCTGCAATCTCATCGAATTCTCGATGCCCTACCACGATGTCCCACTCTCCTGGACCTGGGGGGGGGTTGATTGCAATGAAGGGGAGGACCATGGGAGCCCCATCTATAACATTCGGCATTCCGGCAACAAAGTTTCTACGTTAGTGAAAACGAAATCACGTAGCCTCGCGGCAGATCAGACATGAGTGTTGGGGGCTGGATCTGACATTATGTGAGAAATTTGGTTCGACGAGATATCACAGATCTGGACGTTTTGGTAACGTTGCTCGGTGTCGGGATGACTTGACAGATCATGGTGCTACGGTACTAACGGTAGTCTCTATATGGTACCGTTCCTACATAATTTGCTAAGAAATTACCTATTTAGGTTATATAAAATGCTACGTAAGTCGATATATAAAACAAATAACCAATACTTCCATTAATAGCCTTAAAAAGGCCATAGCTTTTTTTTTTAGCCGGGAGATCAGCAACTAACGTGACTTAACTTGACTGCCCAAAGGTGTCACACCCTTTCCCCTCTCGACTTCTTTGACTTACCTCTCTTTTTGAAACTATTCTGGAAAAAAAAAAAGTACGGCCTTCTCCGGGGGAAAACATATAAGAACAGAGAATCTGTTTTTGTTCAGAATGGCATGAGGACCCACGATGTCAGAACGGATATCACGTCTGAAGGCAAAATTGCTTGGACGATTATCTCCAAAAGCGGATGCCGACCCGAGTGCCCACCTAAAACCCCCGGGCCCTGACTTCAAATCCTATAGCACAGAGAATCTGGATCGCGAGGAACCCCTATCCCCGAAGGAATTAGGTTCCGTGTCTGCGCCTTCGCGCAATTGTACCCCATCAACCGAACGATACAATTCTTCCTTGCCGACTCCTATCTCGGACCCTCCGTCTCCCCTCGAAACCCCTCCGTTAGCGACTCCTCAGCATTCCGATAGCACCTCCTTCCAGTCCCACTTGAAAGCTCAAACTCCAATAGCCGAGACTCAATTGACCCCGACCCTGGATACTGTCGTCGAGCGTACGAATGATCGCCGACCTTCTGCTTCCTACTTTCCTCCCTCGAGCAAGCGCCCGAGCCTTGCGATCCGTCGTCAATCTCTTCTCCCGCCAACACACCAACACTTGATTAGTGGGCTACTGGAGGCGAATCTTTTCTCTTCCGACCAGGGCAGCGGTTTCACTCCCCTCGTTCCCCACGAGATGGTCACACGTCGCATTTGGGTCAAACGGCCCGGTGGCTCGGCCACCTTGGTGCCGTGCAGAGAGGATGCGGTGGTAGATGAGCTACGCGACCAGGTTATCATGAAATACGGGAACTCATTAGGGAGAAGCTTTGACTCGCCCGACATTGTTATCCGGATTTCGCCACGAGAGGGTACGACTCGATCAGGTCACCCCGAGCGCCTCTTGAGCCCGGAGGAAGTCGTGTCAACTATACTCGATACATACTACCCTGGCGGACAAAAGATCGAGGAAGCGTTGGTGATCGATGCCCCGTCACGCCGCACCCCAAAGCCATCGCCGCGGCATTCGGTCTACCAGCACCACCACTCGGAACCCGGCGAGCATGGCGATTATTTCCCTCTCATGCCGCCGGTCAATGCGAACGCGGGCACACCGTCTGCGCACTCGGGAGCTGCATCAGTATCGGCTAGTGCGCCATCAATTTCCATTATCAACACCGGTGTTGCTCCATTGCTGCCATCCCCGGGAAGCCGCAGGGCACGGCATCAGCAACGACCTCCGTTGACACGACACAAAACAAATTCTCCCACAATTCTTCATTCCCAAACCCCTGCCATAACCGGTACGCTCTCAAACAACTTTGTTTTCCTCAACATGGCCACTGACATCTATAGAAACCGGCCCTACTCCTCATTCCCAACCTATCCCAGCTGCTGCTCCCGCAATGCCAACACCTCCGGTGGCAGCACCACCGGTGGAATCTCCGCAGATGAAATCACACACTCCCCCGGCAACTGCATCACCACGCGTGGTCCGAAAATCAAAAGCGGCCACCTCTCCTGGTGCTATGTTTGGCGGGTTGATTGACGGCACCGTTCCGCCAATCAATGTCCTCATTGTCGAAGACAACATCATTAACCAGAAGCTTTTGGAGGCCTTCATGAAAAGGTTGAAAGTGCGCTGGAAATGTGCAATGAACGGCGAAGAGGCAGTGCGGAAATGGCGACAAGGTGGATTCCATTTGGTCCTAATGGATATCCAGCTTCCCGTGATGAATGGTCTGGAAGCGACCAAGGAGATTCGACGCCTGGAGCGTTTAAATGGCATTGGTGTCTTCCCAAAGACAGCCTCTGGACGTTTCAGCGCGTCCAATACGTCTGCTGCGGACCGAAGACCCGGCCTTCACCGTACGGTCAGTGAAGAGGACACTTTGTCAGATCTCTCGCTGTTCCGTAGTCCGGTCATTATCGTCGCGTTGACAGCTAGCAGTTTGCAAAGTGATCGACATGAGGCATTGGCTGCTGGCTGCAACGATTTCCTGACCAAGGTATGTCAAACTCTCACGTCTTTTTCTTTCTCAAATAGTATGCTAACATTTCTCGAATAGCCCGTCGGATTCCCCTGGCTTGAGCAGAAAGTGACAGAATGGGGCTGCATGCAAGCCCTGATTGACTTTGAAGGCTGGCGCAAATGGCGTGGGTTCATGGACTCTCCCCGCCCCGCCTCGCCAGCTGTTACAACAGCCAGTCCGATGCAAGGTGGCTACCGCAAAGAATCACCACGGGTGGATCCCCCGTCGCCCTCGAGCTCCCGCAACCCTAATAAATCTGCTCACGAATCCAAGCCAAACGCGCCAGACGCGCAAATCCTGCGGGAAGATTCATGGGGTAGCGGGAGTCCTGACACCATAGACATAGATTCATCCCTGAGTCCGCATTTGCCAACATCGGGGGACGCCGCACCCATCAGTGATGTGACGGCGGCTCCAGATGAAAAATGAAGACAGACTTGTCTTTCAAGTGCGCTAACCATGCCTTGATCCCTACACATTTCCAACAATTTTTTCCCCAGTTTGTTTGATTCGAACTTTCTGTCTCTCCCATTGAATACCCCGTATAGCAACGTGTCTTTTCTCTCCCATCTCATTCTCTCATCTTCTTGTCATGGTAGCATGCACTTTACTTCGAGGGTCTCAGACTCAGTGCATGGTTTTCCTCGTGGATCTTCTTTTGGCATGGATCCTATGGATATATTTTGTCACTTTGGGCTGTATACACATCTGCCTGCGCACTTTTCCATCCCTGGCTAGTTTCTTTTTGTCCACCGGTATTTTCGCTCTTGCATAACATTTTTATGCAATGGACATCCTCATATACACGAACGAGATGTCTCCACCCTTCTATCTTTCAATGTATAACTTTCTTTGTTTCGACTGCCGGGGGCTTGGTGTATCCTCCTGCCTTGTACTTATTTCACTATTTTTTTGAGTGATGATTTTGTAGATATAATATTCCAAGTATTTCCTTAGTCTTGAAGCGTCTTTTGAAGTTATATGATCTGTAGCTTCTACCTATACCTATTTAAAGTAAGTTTACAACATTCTCCCACCGGAACAATGACAAAGTCTCAGAAAACCTGTCTTCAGCCTGCATTGTGCACAATTTATTCCTTTCCAGGTTGTCTCGTATCCAAGGTAATACAATCTCAAAAATAAAGAACTAGTCCAATAGCTGCCAATCAACTGCATTGATCATATCCGAAACCCCTGTATTCAAGACCCGAATCAATATATACGTATATCTGCACAATATCATCATAGGTTGCACCAATTAAGTGAAAGGATCGAAGTAGGATCTGCACAACGATACATCCAATCAATAGCTCCCTCGGTGCAACCGATAGCAGCTTTCCAAGGCTAATACCAAGTCACGATACATTGACAAAATCCAGAATTGGGCCGCAAAGTATGCAGGTGATCCTTTGTCTGATTTTCTCTGCATGTGATGTTCGTATTGTTTAAATACCTTGCCCTCGAACCTCATTCTACATCCTTTTCAAACTACAACATATATACTATATTACTGTCTCTTCTCTATACCATCTACCATCTATCATTTACCATTTACCATCTACCATCTACCATTTACCATCTACCATCTATCATTTACCATCTATCATTTACCATTTACCAAAAGACCTACAACATACACTCTCTGCCACAAACCCCGCTCATCTGACCCCACTCAAGACTATGCAGTCATCAACACCGGCTTCGGCCTTCACTACTTCATGGCTTCAAAGTGCCATCGCCTCACTCGGGTCGATCTTCCAAACTTCCAAGGAAGATGAGTCTGAATCCGATGCAATTTCCGGATGGGTTGGGACGAAAAGGCGACGCTGTCGCTCTGTCGGGGAGGCTCGTTGAAACCTCGACTATGTGTCTTGTTAATTCATGAGAATGGGAGTGAAACGGGATAGGAAGGGCTGGAATAGCGGACTGCTGGGCATATTGTGTTTTTTTTGTTGGTTTTTTTTTGGCGAGGCGCTGTGCATTGTGATTTTCATATTTCAGGCTTATGTTTTGGTTCTTTTGTTCATTTGCAGGCTCCGGGGGTTTCATCATATTAAGTCAATTTAGGAATATAAACAGGGGATTATATGATCACCCTACACCTTGGTTGAACTAATATTGAGATTAATCGTTTAAACTAAACTATTATAATTTTCTTTGAAAACGGGTTCGTCGAGTGCTTCGCCTATTTTGATGTTGATAAGTATAGGATCTATGCTACCATCTTCCTTTAAGCCGAGTATTCTTGTATTGTATACTTGTATGGTATACTTGAGATCTTCCAAAAAAGATACGCATCGAGCGTGGTGATTTGGAAATTATTTCTAGAGGCTTTTAAGACAAAGCCTATAATCCTTGGCCTATATCTACTAACTTGTTCCTACATCTCTCATTCCTCCGTTACTATACTAGACTAACGTATAGATGTAACATGCCCATATTTCCCTTGCCATACGCTTCTCAGCCACATAATACTTTGCAATGTAAGACAGCAATCTTTAAAAAGTTCAAAAAGTTCAAAAAGTTCAGCTTTCGTCTCCACAGTATACATCCTCCCAAAATTGTAACCCGACCCCAAAAACATCATGAAGACATGCTATGACCACTTGTTCTAGCAGCAAGAAACAAGCACCCGAGAAGCGAGGGGTATTGGGGCTCAGCGATTAACAGAGCTGAGCCAGCTCCTCTCGACGAGCATGCAACGTTTCCTCGAGAGACTCGATCTCAATCTCAAGACGTCCTTTCTCGCCGGTTTCGGTAAATTGACCAGCTTCCGGGGTACATTGACCAGCCTCCGCGAGTATTGCCGATTTCTCGCTCGAATCAGGAATTCGATCGACCTTGGCAATTGCTTGTTCATCACTCCAATCCCAGTCAATCAAGCCCAATGTCGATGCGACTATTAAGCAACCGACAATAAGTACTGCACCGATTCTTGAAATGATTGGAATGGAAGCCATGATAACCACGATAGCACCTAGGATCTGGAGATACTCTGGGAGCTCCTCGTAGGCGGCGATGATGGAACTCATTTTGTGAAGATGAGGTTTAGATTTGTGATATGGGGAAATGTGGAAAATGTCTTATTGTAAGGTGATATCCTCTCGTTTGCACCGTTTACGTGGGAAATTCGGGGGAAGTCTCTATTTGTAACGAGTTCCGAGTTGGGCTTCTAAAGTTGACAAGATCATCAAGATCCATTGGGGCAATCAAGGCTATGCTCCAGGGCTATGCCAGGGCCCCGGGGGCCGGGAGCCGGGATAGTTCATTAACTAATGCTCAGTGATCGTCCCCGGGGGCCAAACAACTTTCAAACTCAAAATACAAGCTCAGATTTACCAAAAGTGAAATGGAAAGGGATATTATCCGGTATATAGTTACATAAGTGATCAACCTCCTTCATACATCCATGGATGAGTAGCATACAAGTAAAATTACAGAGGCCGTAGCCAAGAAAGTTGCTGAAAAACACAAAAAAAGAAAGAAACAGCCCTGGGACTATCTCAAAATCAAGCCTCCACACGGGTAGGAATCTTGACTTCACCGCGGGTACGGTCACGGTGAGGCACACCGTAGCGACGACCAGCAGCCTTCGAACCACGGCCATCAGCACCAGTAGTTTCCGTGGTGTAGATAGTATCCTTGATACGGTAGTCGAAGCGCGATTCCTCGGGGGAGACAACCGTCAGCTTCTTCTCACGGCGAGCTTGGACACGCTCGCGACGCGCTTGCTCGATTGCATCCTGGCGCTCGAGTCTCTTAGATTGGAGGTCTGCAACAGCCAGACGCTCGTTGGGGTGCGCCAGGCGGTCCCGCTCCAGGGCAACCATGTGAGGGTGAGGAATGCGCACATCAGCAGGCTGCAGGATCTGGCGGGCATTGGCGCCCTTGCCGACCCAGCCGATGGAGTTGGGGTCCTCGATGATCTTTTCGGCGAGGTCAGAGGGGTGGGAGATCCCCGCGGCTTCAGATTGCTCCATTGCTGGAGCGCCGGAGAAGACGCGGCCGGCCTCGACACGGTTGAAGGAGCGGGATTCGGGGACTGGGTAAAAGATTTGAGAGCCTGTCAGGGGGTGGGCGGGGAGGTCGTTGATGGGTTCGTGGTAAGTTTGACGCTCGCCTTTCTCGGCGAGAGGTGTGGTGGGGACCATCTCGTGGATGGCCCGGGCATATGGCAGTGCTAGGGGTTTACCCTGTTTTGAGATTCGTCAGTTTATGTCACGCGACCAAAAAAGACTTGATAGGAATCCAAAATGTAAGGGTAATGCAGTTCAGTTCAAAAATGGGTATAACCATGTGGGTGTCTTCAAGACTAATCGATTTTTTGTGACTCATCATATGCGTGGAGGATCGAAGCAAAGTCCGAAAGGAAACGAGGGAAAAAAGCAGAAAGGGAAGAGGGTTCTTACCTGTGTGCGTTGTCTCTTCTCCAACTCCACCAATCTCACGACAGCAGCAATACGCTTCATATCAATTCCAAGCTCCACGCTGACGATGCGGACACTCTTCTTTTGCTCAATGACGCGGTTATAGACCTCATTCCGGAGCTCCTCACTGAGGATAGGCTCGCTGAAGAAACTTTGGTTGTTGGGGAACGGACGGGTCTTCTCCGAGGTCTCGGGACCTCGCTGTTTTAAGCGAGTAAGATAGTTGGTTTCTCCAGGAACGTGATTCTTGAAAACGGATCCTTCATTGTTAAGCCATTCGAACATCTGCCGACGGAGCTTGGTCTGTCCTTGTGGTGCTGCCGTGGCAGAGAACTGGCGGGAAAGGCACTGTGATGATGTAGAGGATAATGAAGGAAGAGAAGAAAGTGAGGATGAGGAAGAGGAAGGAGCTGTGAGGTAGGGAAGAAGGGTGTTGGACACACTCCGGCTCTGTATCCGGGGTGGCATCTTGGGAGGATATGAGGGGGAATGGGAGGGAAGATTTAATGTTAAACTGAATGCAAGACGCTGGATATTAAGAATCAAGGAGTTCCAGCTGCCATTGACTCCTTTGCAGCAATAATTGAAGGACGCGAGGTTGTCGGGTTGGAGCGGGAGGTGTAGGTGTCTGCAGGGGAAGAAACTTCTCGGTAGTGCCATCACGTGATCACATCTCCACTTGTATACAGCCGAGTAAACAACTTCTTCGCATTCCCTATATTGACCCTGATAGCATAACCAGGGCTTTGAATGGTTTTGAGTATAACTACTCTGGCAATATAAGCCTTACAGGATCCCCTTAACGGTTCCTATTACATATATGAAGAGTTGCCCAAAAAGATGTAAAAGAATGGTCCCAGGATAGCTCTTTACTAGACCTGAATATTATTATAAACGAATTAAATGGGTTCTCTCTCCAGGGTAGCTGGAACCAGTTCATTGTATCAAGTACAGATCGAAGCAAATGTATCGGTATCATATCCCCTAGCAAGACGGGGTAAGAGGAGGAGTTAAAAATTTATGGACACGCCTCGTTTTCTCGTTCTTCTCCTGGAGAAGCAGAGTAAGCCAGACCTAAAGCAAAACGAGTGGCAATGCAAGCAAGATGAGAGAAGAACTTTCAAGCAAAATGCATGGGCCGGACGCCTTCGTCTCCGCCGAGATGAGAGGAATATGGCAGGAGAATAAAACCAACGCGAACGCCTGGGACAATATGTGGTCGACGTGAGCCGATGTCATGTCCTTCCGTAGCTCATGCCATTGAGTAGAGAGATATTAGAAGAGAAGCTAAAGAAAGCCACATAAGACCCTTCTTTTTCGTACTTGCATAGAAATAAACACGCATTGCAATAGAGAAAGCAAGTAAATCAGCAAAATCCTTTCCGATCCACGCAGACGATGCATCGAGAAAGATCCAGGGGATAGATGTAACAAAACAGGGGGAATCACGTCGAATAAAGTAGATAAGAGCTCATATAGATCCTCATTAGGGCAAACAGCGAACACGCAATAGTGTGCATTGCCTACTGAGTCAGGGTAAACGAGCGAGATAAACAAGAACAAAAGCAAGAAATCACGAGGGTATGAAGGTGTGAACGAAACGCAATGGCAGAAACAAACACGCTCTCAAGCGCCTCGCACCGACCAGATAAGAATACAAGTTTGGCAATGACCTGAAATGCAATCCTCCCAATGAAAAGAGATAACAAAAAAAGGAATGTAAGAGCGCCCAGGTTCCCATGCAACAGAAAGACGAAATGCCAAGAAAAGGACTGGCAGAAAAAGAAGGGGGAAAAACAGAAAAGCAAATCCGAAACAGTACTCCCGAGAGTTATGCAGCCGCCGAATGCTGATCTAGCTCACGAAACGAAGATCCCCAAATGCGCCAGATATCCCAGTTCGTTCAAACATGCCGGGCATTATCTTAATATAACGCTTGAATGGGCTTAGCGACCCATCATGTAGTCAGGGTAAAAGGAATTATAGCCGTTCAGGTTCGGTGCCGCGTTGTTGTTGCCGCCAGAATTAGAAGGGGGCGGCGGCGACATCATCATTGAATTAGCTCCGTTTCGGATTCCCAGGCCCGAGTTGGGGTTGTATGAGGCATTGCCCATCAGTCCAGCATGCGGATTGACGGGGGTGTGCATGGAGGTACCATTGCGCATCGGGGGCGCAGGCATGGGCATGCCAAGACCAGGAGGTGCTGCCAGTCCGGGAGGGGGGCCGTTGGCAGCCGAGAACATGTTGTTATGCATTCCACTCAAGCTGCTGCCTCCAGGGACTGCGCCTTGTCCAGATACTGAGTTGGACGAGTTCATGCTGCCAGGTTGACCAGAGCGCACACCCAAGGGGTTCTTTGAGAAGCTGAGACGGATGCCAGTCTTGACACTGTTCGACAGCTTGTAGCCGTATAGCTCATTGAGTGCCTTGCTGGCCATGGCGACCTCGTCGAATTCAACAAAGCACATGGGTCCGTTTTGCTTGTTTCGGAAACAGAGTCGCTTGTATCCGCGCTGTTTGGAGAAAAGGGCTTTAAGTTCCTCCTCTGAAGTGTCCGGTGGCAAGTTGCCCACGTACAGAGTGTTGCAAGGAGGATTCAGGTCATTCGGGTTTGCAGCGGGGAGGCTGTGGCGTGGTGTGTGCTGAGCGTTGTATGGGAAACCATGACCTTGGTTCGGGTATGCAGATGCGGGTGTTCCACCACCCATGCGTTGCGCGCCACCCCCAGGGTAGTTCTGCAAAGGTGGCGAGGACATGTTGTTCGACAGGGACATATTGGCAAAGCGGTTGGTCGGGATTTGGGGGTTGGTGGCCCGGCGTCCCGCGGAGACATTGGTAGAATGGCCATTCTCTGCATAGCCCACCGGATCCTTGAGCAGCTCGCCGGTCTCCTCGTCCGGGTCTTCATCAATCATAGACTTTCCGGTTATGCGTGGGAGGTTGTCAATGCCATTTCCGATCGGAGATTGTGGGGAGAAAAGGCTGTGCATACGCGAGCCTGATTCAGAGGTCGGAGGAAGTCCTTCGCCGATAGGCTGGTTGGGGTTGGGGTTGGAGAGCCTCTCTAAGCTTTGGAAAGTGCCGTTGAAGCGCGACGATTGACGGGCAAGGGGACCGTTCGAGGCCCCCATTAACGCACGACTCGCGGTGTGATCGATGGTGTTACGGCGCGTGTTGGACAGATTCGCTCCCATCGGACCGGGGTACATCTCGACGACCATGTTGGCGTCATTTTTGGAGTTCGGCTTGCCATCGAGTAGGGATCTGGCCTCTTCGGCGGCTGGCAAAGTCATGAATCGCGCAATCGCGGTCAAGAACCCGTCATCCTCGGGCAAATCCAGGGTCACAAAGTCCGCGTCAACAAAGTCTTTGGCGAAAAGAAGCATGCTGCGCAAGGCTTCGCGACTCGTGTTTCGCGGCAGTTTGCGCATAACAATTGCGCCTCCGTTTCCGCGATTAAGGCCATTCAGGCCCTGGAGGTTGCGATCGTTATCCAAGCGCATGTTGTTATCGAATGAAGCAGTTGTACCGATAGGGGAGAAAGGGTATGAGAAAGTAGGGTTCATAGATGATGGCGCTTGCGACGCATTCGGACTATACACGTCGGTCGACATCGCATGCTGAGCCGTCAAAGGCGCCTGCGAAGAAGGGAGTGACTGCTGTGGGGGCGAACCAGATGACACGGACTCTGTGAGTTGTGTAGTTCCAAAAGACCCGGGACTCGTACGAGTGGACTGGCTAGAGCTGCCGCTCATTCCTCCACGAGATTTGAATTTTTTGAATTTTTTTTTTCGCCTTTCGAAGGGGTTCGCGATCACACAGGGGAAGATAGTCCAGGTAGGAAAAAAAAGGAGTCGCGGGATGCTGGAAAGTCGAAATTTGGCGCAGTGATTGGTAATGCGACAAGATATCGTACACCAAACGCGCGACGATAGAAATGAAGGAGGCGAAGGCGATTAGCGATTCGATCGGAAGTCGAGTTCTGGATGGTGTCTCATCGGATTTGCGACAGTTGGACTATGAGCGCTTTGAAAACGATTGAGATAAAGATGGACAAGAATGGTATGCAGGGAAAAGGGTTTGAAAGGAGGGGAGAAGGAGAGTGCAGGGGAGGGGGGAAGAAAAGAGTCCGGAACGGTCGAGTGCCAGTCCACAAGTGCCAGATCCATGGATCTGCCCTTCACGACGCGACTCAATGGGGAACAGGTATGTGACAGTGGGTGTACATGGGGTTATATGTAGATCCTCGTATTAACGGATGTACTCAAAGGTATATGACAGTACATGGTCATAAATTTACACAGTTTTACACAATCTTACACCTTGGCCCTGGAACCTGACCGCATGCAGACAGTTACCAAGTGCGTGTCCCGAACTTGTGTGGAATGTCCATAGTATTATTTTTTATTATTTTTTCATTTTTCATTCTGTTCTCCTATATATAAGAAGATCGACGGGTGGATCATGAACCTGTCTCTTCTAGAAAAGCACCGGCCATGCAAGTGTAGCCTATGCGGCTTGCCGTACCCCGGCTCTGCACGAGATTGGGGCTCTATGAAATGAAACACACATATATGTATACCAGGGATGTTTTACTATAGTGAACGGTAATCCCAAACCGGTACCAAATTCAATAGAATACCTTCTTTATTATATGGATAAAGCTTGAAAGTGTTTACTACCAGATCTCAACGGCCTTGATATTCAATCCCTCATATATTCTTTGGCTTTTCTCTATATACATCTAACCCATTTTGTAATTCACACAAGGTCATCACACATGCCCACGGAATCCCCAAAGTCAAAAACCGGCGATCCTCCGGGGTCACTGGCCAATTGCCACGGGTCCAACCCCGGTAAGACATGGGATTGGCTGCTACGGGGAAATGACTTGGGCTTATCGAGGGGGCGATAGTTCATTTGGTTGGCCCGTGGAGAGAAGACATTACTTTTAGGGGGCTTTATTAGCACTACTTCTTCAGAACGTGTGCCTGAAGTGGTCATAGGCGCGTCAAATGTTTTGGCTTTTTACTAAATACGATCGGTTTCCAGTTAATGTAATATGTGTTATTCTTTATACCTCATGACTCTACATTATAGGCACATATGCGCTTTAGGTGTATGCTTAATATCCTACCTCGGTAGTATCTCCCTACACATGCTTTTTTTTGGAGAGATTCAAGTATCAATAGATATTCATGCGGTGCTCACCGCGTAGAGTCAGAGCAGCCAGGCTGCCACATAATATACAGAGGTTCTAAGGCAACTCAATAACGCCAAAAAAAATGCCAAATCAGAAAAGAAAAGAAACACAGCGCGACTTTCGACCCGTCATTGATGGTGCATGACTTGACTTTTCCATGGTTCTGGGATGTTGTCCGGCCGAATACACAAAGAATGTCGGAGAGGAGAACCTTGGAAAGCTATCAAGAATGCCACCCAAAAAGCCCCAGAGAGTCAGGTAGTCAGACAAGCAAAATCAAGCTTTGTCAAAGGTAGTAGGTTTGGGCGCAACAAGGCCAGCCTAGAGAGAGCCCAAGAGTTAGCAGCAGTCCGTATAACAAAGACGTAATCCCCGTCTATATGATCTGCTAAAAAAATGCAGATCCGATCACAGCCGCTCATCTCCCTCGGATCCTCCCAATCCTAAAGTTTCGCGGATACAGATAACAAGGGTTCGGCTTACCATGCCCATCAGCTTCCAGACGGGATCACTAGGTTGCGCACCAACACCGAGCCAATACTTTGCGCGTGACCGGTCGAGAGCAATCTCCTTATATGGGCGCGCTTCGGCGTTCTCGTCGTACAAGTTCGTGGGACGTTTCGGGATAGGGTTGTAGGTGCCAATGACTTCGAGGGGCTTAGCGCCGCGGGCGGAGCTAGAGATAATAGGGTCAATTTCAATTCTTCTTGAAGATACAGTGCACAATGGATTGAAGTACTCCATAGCCTGGCAAGGTCGGTGTTTGGCGTTGGAGACCGGTGTATCGGGGATATCCATTCATGGGGGAGAAACCACATACCGGGCTTGCGCAACGACGATGTTAAAGAAGGGGTTGTGCTTGTTGCCGAAGCGTGCGAGTCGAATCCGGAGAACCATTTTGGCGGGTGTGTAATGGTTTTTCAATTGAAGATGGCCCAAGACTGTTCTTCTGATGATCCCCTCTGCCCTCCGCAAAAGTTCTAGGAGATGCGGAAGAATTATTGATCCGATACGGCCAAATGTGGACTAGCGCATATGTGATGTAATGGGGTGAGGACCCTCAGTAGATCTACTTCCGGAGCTGGCTATCACTTTGATTTACACAGTTTCTGTCAATTTACTCAATTAGCCAAAAGACTAGCTCTGGCATTGACATACTTATATGATCCGCTCTACCTTCACCCGTTCTCATCTACCTCCCATCATTCGTCGCTATAGTAAATCAGCAATAATGTCATTGAAGGTATAGTTCTCTGATACCAGCTCCAACAACTTATAAACTGACATCAATGCTAGGCAATTTCAGCCAAAGATGCCGCGTCACTTGACAAAGACCTCATGGAGACCGGCGGGTGGTCTCTAGACCAGTTGATGGAGCTAGCTGGCCTTTCTGTCTCGCAAGCCGGTAAGCTCCATCAATCTTGAACATGTACTCACGCCATACTGATACAACGGGCAACCAGTATGGAAGATTCACCCCCAAGCGCAGGCAAGAATATCCTAGTTGTCTGCGGACCAGGCAATAATGGTGAGAGGAAGCCCCAATATTGCCATTCCGAGGAACAACCTAACAAAACCCCAGGAGGAGATGGCCTCGTAGCCGCTCGACACCTAGCCCACTTTGGCTACACACCATCGGTGTACTACCCAAAACAAGGTAAAAACGAGCTCTACCAAGTACGCAAACCCAGACACCAAAAGAGCTCGAGGAGCAAGAAGCAAGAAGCAAATCTAACCCAACCCAGCGCCTCAAAATCCAGCTCCAAAACCTCTCGATCCCCTTCATAGATGACTTCCAACCAGCACTCAAGACAACAGACCTCCTCGTTGACGCTATCTTCGGCTTCTCCTTTGGTGGGCCATTGCGTGATCCTTTCGGCGGCATCGTTTCGCAAATCGAATCCTCCAATGTCAAGGTGCTGAGTGTTGATGCGCCCAGCTCGTGGGATATCCAGAGCGGACCGCCGAAGGAAGGACCCGGTGCGAAGTTTATGCCGCATGCGCTGATCAGTCTAACTGCACCCAAGCCATGTGTGGCCTTTTACCGCGGCAGGCATTTTATTGGTGGTAGGTTTTTGACCAAGAACATTGCGGATAAGTATGGACTTGATATGCCCAAATATCAGGGTGTTGATCAAGTTTTGGAGATTGGTGTTGATGCAGAGGGGAGGTTGTAAGGGAGTAGCAAATGGACGATGGTTTAGAATGCTACTTGGTTCATGGATGAGAGACCATTTACGATTTATCTAGTACGAAATGGAAGAAAAAGTAATGAATAGCCTTTGTATGGGAATCGCGTTGTCGTCGTTAAGAAGTAATGCATCTCTGATGTATGCATACCGAATAAAAAAATAGCACGCACTCTCAGAGAGTCTCCCGGATCTCGCTGATAATGCCCTTGATGCGCGGCTCCTTTCCAGGACCCGAGGCAGAGGCTCTCGCGAGAACCCCTTCAATCTCGTACACATCCTTGGCAGCACTCTTGACTTCCTCCCCGAGCGCTGTCACCAGTGTACCAAGTGCAACTAGTGCTCGATAAACCGCCTCTGAGTCATTCTCTCCAGCGATGATCCGAGTCAGTTCCTCCAGGAGGACCAGACCCCGTTCTGCGGATTCTGGAGATTGATTCCTACCTTCGGAGGTAAGATAGACTGCGAAGTTGATGTACAGTGTCGTGATGGCGATTGTAAGGTTGCGGTTTGGTGACTCTCCGCTGCTGGCCCAGGCAGACTTTACTCCTGCCAAGATCTGATCAAATGAGCTTATGGCCAGATCGCGGCCGGCGGTCGTCTCGAATAGGTTAGCAAATGTCCGCATTGCGAGCATTGCATTGTTGACGCTAAGAGGGGATTCAAAAACACCGCTGGATATCACACCCGACACGACGTTTTCATCTTTGTACTCGGCGGATGCTGTAAATGGCACAGCAGCCGCGAGTAAGCGGAGGATATCCAGGCCAGGCAGTCGGTTGGCGGCAGGCCAGGTTGTGACAATTTTCAGAATCAATGGCACTCCAGACTCAACCTCGGGTGAAAGTTGAAGTTGTTGAGAGGATTCGAGCTGACCGCACAAGGCGACAACCGTCTCCACCTCTGAGGGGCTTAAAGCCACGTCCTTGGCTCCATCAGACACAAGTTTTGCGTTCAATTCCTGAAGCTTCTTCGTAATAACCTTGAGGTTTGCTGAGCGGATGGAGAGATAGATCTTCTGGGGGAGCACTTTAGGGCGTGGCTCGGGGGCGGGAGCGGGAGCAGGTGGCTGAGACTCCTCAGTTGCCCCGGCGTCTCCAGGACGGTAACGTCGGTCTGAGCCCCAAGGATCAGCACCTGCGGGTTCCTCAGACTGCCCAATGGTGGCACCTTGGGTATTCTGAGTGATGAAGTTGGCAACCTGGTCCAAATAAGTCATAGGGAGTTCATTGTCTCCAATAAACTTGGTAGCAGCCTCATATGGATTTTGCGTGGCATTGTATGGTAGTTTCAGCGGAGGCTTTCCGTCCTCTATGTCAACATCGAAGACGTAGTCGTAATCTTGGCCATGGTATTCGGTCTTCCGGCCACTGCTTCCAGCCGAGTCCACTACCATACCGATAGCAACCCACTCCTGTGTTGCTGACGACCAGGTGTGGGCGCTTACGGTACCACCGGGCTCTCGGATCATCTGGACCTGACCTTCCTTGGTTCCGGACTTTTCTTTGAGAAATTCCGGACCAGGTAGCTCCTCTTTATTAATCTTTCCAACTTGTTGCTCCGGAATAGCTGATTCCTTGACGGCCTGGTCAAACTGCTGTATGGCATCCGGGGCTGCATGACGGTCAGTGCTTCTGCTGAAAACGCGAGCAATGCGGTCACTAGCACCGGTGACGATATCACCAGTCTCACTGCAAGCTGCCACACTCCAGACCGAGATTGCGGGATGAGTGATTGTCTGCACACATTGAGTCCCGTTCCAAATCTTCACAGTGCGATCTTCACTGGAGCTCACCAGCTCGCCAGATGGGAGCGCAGCAAGGGAGTAGATGAAGCTTTCATGGCCATGCAGAGAGGCAACAAGTTGACCTTGCAGTGTGTAAAGACGAATAATTCCGTCATTGCTAGCCGAGGCGAAGTGGGCTCCGGTAGAGTTCGAGGCAGGAAGCTTGCACAAGGCCCGGACAACGTCGTTTGAGTTTTGTACGCTTCCGAGTAGGGTTCCCGAGGTATTGAACATCCGAATCATTTTATCAGCACAGCCTGCGGTGATGTTAGCATGTAGTAATTTTTAAGGCCACATAAGCTAGCATACCCGTGATGATTGTGTTCTCGTCATACGCCAGCACGGCCCAGACGCTTGCCTCGTGTCCCTCCAGTACGACATCACACTCCCATTTCCCGACCCTCCATAGCCGGGCGGTGGAATCCCAGCTGCCACTGACGACCCATTTGCCATCCGGGGACACATCCAGAGCACAGACATTGTGTCCGTGACCCAGAAGCATAGCGTCCGCATTATCCTCTGAACCCTTACCAGGCTGTCTGGCTTCAATTATTGCATCCTGTCCAGCCGAAAGGACAAGACCCTCTGGGAATTCGGATGTGGGAGGAACGTAGGCTAAGCTGTTGATGAAGGCGCCGCCATGTGCAGCGATGGTATAGTCATATGCGGGAGGAGGGGTGGAGACGAGCTTCCAAAGCCGAACTGTTGCATCACGAGAGGCGGAAAGTACGACATTTGGATTTGGGAAGACCACAGCGCGAACCTAGATGGGAAGTCAAAAAAGTGTGAGTGTTCTGTGTGGTTTGGATGCGCGATCAACGGCGTCTGTCCAGACGCCGGGACCAGGAGCCTTACATCATCGCCGTGGCCCTCCAAAGTTGCGGAGAGCTTGAAGTCAGGCATACATAAAACTTTGAGGGAAGAAAGAGTGAAGAAAGAAGAATCCGAAGAAGAAATAGTTTGAGGGTATCACCGCGGAATTAATGATCAATCAAGCTCCCCTGGATGTTGTTGTCCTTTAGTCGTTCCGGGGGATCGCCCCGCCGAAGCATCAATGGTCATATCACGTGGGCGGTAACGCCATTTGGGGAACCTGCTAGAACGCGACTTATCAATTGCAAAGGGAGATTTTAATTAGATTTTTACATGAGGACTTTCCGAGGTCTGTTACGTGCTCGGGGGCAGTTCCCTCGAATGATTCTTCCACCATACTGGCGAATTTCTCAATTTAGAGGACAGTCATCTCCTTCCTCCAGTTGGAACAGTGGAAGCTTCCTAGGTTGAGGTCCACCATAGCTCAGGGACTACACCGTAACAATAGAAATGCGAAGGAAGTAGGATGAGAAGTTAAAGTTATAGTCTCGCTGGCGGTGTTTTCCCATAAGTAGATACAAAGGAGGGACGAGGGCGAGGTGGTTTATACCCGCGGGTGGAGATGTCGACTCGCACCTTCCTGAAAATAACCTTTTAAATAGGAAAGAGCCCGTTGTCCGTCCCATCCAAATTGGGCAATAGGATCCTTCTAGGAACATGCATCCAGCGGAAGACATGCACCATGGGCTAGTTCCCCTGCTAATCCATCGATTTTCGCGAGTGGGAGATTGGCGATCATCAGTCTGCCCAAGGACCACTGATTGCATGAATAGATGTGCTCGATTTGAGACCACATTCTTGCCAACCACAGGCTGTCCATAGCATTACGGTGTAGTTTCTACAATTTCTGCAACAAAACCCATGAAGCTTGGTGACAAGCCGCATGCTATTCATACACCCATGGACATCAATATGAGCTTCGAGACGTTACATTGATATCACCATGATGTTTTCCTCAATGTCCGTTTAGAATTTTGCGCCGTAAGCTGTAGCTAGATACGAAACTACATGCGATGAGCCTCACGTGTTCCAATTATACCCGAACCAGACTAGCGCGCGTCTTACCTAATAGGTGATCGGCTCCAGGGCTGCCCGTTATTGCTTGAAATTGAAATTCAATATCCCATCTACGCACCGAAGGAGTTTCGTATGTCCAGAGGCCTTCTCTCCTTTTGAGGTGTCTGGTTGGAAAAATCCCTGTCTAATCCAATTTCTTCGATCCTTTGTTCTCGGCTCTTACTCGAACCCCACATATCTGTTTTGATGACTTGACGACCCTGACGAATCTCTTATGTACCTTCCTTAGACATATTGAACTTTCTCTCGGTCTGGTTCCTGGGTTTATATCTTGATATCAAGTCGTGAGCTCTCGGTTGGGCACATAGCACTTCGCTGATCTGATTGGCTCTCTAATACCTAACATCAAAACCACTGAAACCTCGGGAACTTCCTTCAACACTGACAAAATGACTGCCGGTGAGTGAGCTGTGTAGATGGAATCGAAAATTACAATCTTGATATATTTACTGATATGCCTTCAACAGATATCCCCAAAGTAGTCCCTCTGACTTGCCACGGACATTCTCGTCCAGTGACGCACCTGAGCTTCTCTTCTACCGTTGAAGATGAGCAATATTACTTCATCTCTTCATGCAAAGGTAAGAAAAACATGCTTCTCATAACTCTCACAAGTAACCGCATAGTTACTAACCAACTAAAGATAATAACCCTATGCTCCGCGATGGCATTACGGGAGACTGGTACGACAAATGAAACCAAGCCCAGAAACCACCACTAACATCAATCCCAGGATTGGAACATTCCTCGGCCACAAAGGTGCCGTATGGCAAGCAAGGCTCTCCGCCGACGCCGCTATCTCAGCAACAGCAGCAGCCGATTTCTCAGCGTAAGCATCCTATTAAGCATTCCCCACAATGATATACTAACCTCGACCCCCAAAACAGAAAGGTCTGGGACACCTACACGGGCGAATGTCTGCACACACTGCAGCACGCACACATTGTGCGGGCAGTAGCATTCCCAATTCAAGCGAACCCGCAAGTGCTCGCGACAGGCGGCGCAGAGAAGAAGCTACGAATCTTCGATCTAACGCGGGGCGGCAGTTCCAGCACGGGATCAACGCCGCCTCTCCCGTCTTCGGCCAGTCCGGCCACTGAGAATGGGGTGGCGAGCTACGAGATTGGCGCCGGCGTGCACGGCGGCACGATCAAGTCTATCGTCTGGAACCAAGACTACAATGTCGTCACGACGGCGGCGGAAGACCGCAAGATCCGCTGGTGGGATCTGCGGTCGCGCCACCCGATCGTTG